CTTTCTTCATGGAGCCGGAGATACAGCTCCCTCCAGGATTCATACTCTTGTCGAGGGTCATGTTTAAAATCCCGCTGGCAGTGTTTCATCCACAGATCATCCGACTCTTCTGTGAAATACTGAGTTGAGAGGCTTGAAATTAAAGATTAGTCCAAAAATAAGCCCTAATAAATCACCATGCTAAGTCCTAACGAGAAAACTTTGAATGCAGTGTTGTTCTTAAAATAAGTATTATGACTTAGAATGTAAACAAAAGTTTGGGGTCTATAAGATTTTTTAATGTTTTTGGAAAAAAGTCTCTTATGCTCATCAAGCCTGCATTTATTTGATCAAAAATACAGTAAAATTGTAAGAATATTGTGAAATATTCCTATTTTAATATATTTTAAAATGTAATCTATTGCTTCAGAAATCATTCTAATATGCTGATTTGGTGCTCAAGAAACATTTCTTATCAATGATGAAAACAGATTTTTGTGGAAACCATCATACCTTTTTCCTGGAGTCTTTGATGAATAGAAAGTACAAAAGAACAGCATTTATTTGAAATATTACAAATTTGAAACATTATTTTTCATCATTTGTAACATCACAAATGTCTTTACTGTCACTGTTGATCAACTGAATGCATCTTTGCTAAATCAAAGTATTCATTTCTTTAAAAAAAATCTTACTGACCCACACGTTTGAACAGTAGTGTACATGGTTTCAAAACTGAATAGAATACATAAAAAAGACACAAGCAGTTTAGTAAGAGAACCAGATCAGAGATTAGATTAGAACTGTGAAATAAATCATCTGCATGTGACTGTGTTGACACATACTGGATTACATTGCTCAATCCGGTAAAGCTGCTCAGGAGTGCATCTCTCCAGAACCGGTTCCAGAATCTCGAATGGCACTCCACCCACTTCATCAATTGCTAAGAGAATGCAAGAAATACCAGTAAAAAGCCGATTCATTTCAGGTCAATTGGTGGTTAATACTTCAGCCAGCCTGAAACATCATGGCATCCTTTACAGATGTGATTTGAACATGGTGTCTTCACATTTCTCACACACATCAGACTGCGACTCTTGATTATATAGGGTTTAACTGACCCAGTAACAGCACATTAGGGCTAAAGACTATACCAAAACGTTTAATCAATAATTACTATTATAACAAATGATCAGAGAATGAGAAAACTTACAATCTATATTGTTCTGTAGGACTCTGATACACTGTTCATACAGAGACATCATTTTCGGCAAATACGAAGTCTTGGACCCAGAGTACACCACCATTTTAGAGTTCAGTCTTCGCCCTGCGTAGCCACCATCCTCTTCCTCATATGACAGTGGGACTGGAAGAGAAAAACATGAGTCCATGCAGAAAAAAATCATTGGGATTTATACACTTAAGATTGTTTTTTAATTCAGATTCTTTTAGGTTATAAAACCGAAAACCGCATACCTTTGCGCCTCTGGGGGGACAGTGGTGTAAGATCAATGGAGGGCAGTGGTCTGTAGTTGGGCTGGATGGCTGGCAAAGGGATATCAGGCAGTGTAGGAACCACATCCACTACCTGGAGAAATAATGATTAGAAATCCTTCGACACATGGACAAAAGCTGGTTTCCCATCACCTAGTCTGAGAAACAAGTTCAGCCTCACCTTCCTGCGTTTCTCTGGAACAGGCGTGGTCATGGAGGAAGAGGATGGCTTTGAGTGTTTACTACTGGTCCCATTGGCTTTGCCAGACTTAGAGGAAGCAGAAGGAATCGAGGCAGGAGGCTGAGGGGGTCGCGAGGATTGCTTTTTCTTCTTTTTGCTTGGGGTCGGAGCATCGTATCTAAAGACTATACCAAAACGTTTAATCAATAATTACTATTATAACAAATGATCAGAGAATGAGAAAACTTACAATCTATATTGTTCTGTAGGACTCTGATACACTGTTCATACAGAGACATCATTTTCGGCAAATACGAAGTCTTGGACCCAGAGTACACCACCATTTTAGAGTTCAGTCTTCGCCCTGCGTAGCCACCATCCTCTTCCTCATATGACAGTGGGACTGGAAGAGAAAAACATGAGTCCATGCAGAAAAAAATCATTGGGATTTATACACTTAAGATTGTTTTTTAATTCAGATTCTTTTAGGTTATAAAACCGAAAACCGCATACCTTTGCGCCTCTGGGGGGACAGTGGTGTAAGATCAATGGAGGGCAGTGGTCTGTAGTTGGGCTGGATGGCTGGCAAAGGGATATCAGGCAGTGTAGGAACCACATCCACTACCTGGAGAAATAATAATTAGAAATCCTTCGACACATGGACAAAGGCTGGTTTCCCATCACCTCGCCTGAGAAACATGTTCAGCCTCACCTTCCTGCGTTTCTGTGGAACAACAGACGTTGTCTTTGAGGAAAAGGATGGCTTTGAGTGTTTACTACTGGTCCCATTGGCTTTGCCAGACTTAGAGGAAGCAGAAGGAAGCAAGACAGGAGGCTGAGGGGGTCGCGAGGACTGCTTTTTCTTCTTTTTGCTTGGGGTCGGAGCATCGTATGTGAGAAAGGATTCGAAAGACATAGTTGGAGCCTCATATGGCTCCTCATCCTCATCCACTGGCTCTGGAATTTCCCTCCTCTCCCTTGATTTTCCTTAAAGGCAAAGGAAATTCAAGTAAAACCATATAAAACTCAGTTTTAGAGGGTTAGTTCACCCAAAAATGAAAATTCTGTCATTAATTACTCACCCTCATGTCGTTCCACACCCCTAAGACCTTCGTTCATCTTCAGAACACAAATTAAGATATTTTTGATCAAATCCGATGGCTCAGAGAGGCCTCCATTGACAGCAACGCCACCCAAACTCTCAAGATCCATAAAGGTACTAAAGACGTCGTTAAAACAGTCGACGTGACTACAGTGGTTCTACAATAATTTTATGAAGCGACGAGAATACTTTTTGTGCACAAAAACAAAATTCAACAACCTCTTCTCTTCTGTGTCATTCTCATACGTTGTTTACGTCCAGCACTTCCAGGTTCTATGTCAGAACGCCGGCTCATTATTGGACGGCTCCTGCATCAGCATCACACGCATGCGTCACGCTGCTCACATGTGCAGCTTTGGCAAATAATGAGCCGGCGTTCGGACGTGGAACACGGAAGCCTTCACTGTGCTTACTGCGTTAACCGCGTAAGGATAATGACAGGGAAGAAAAGAGATTGCTGAATAAAGTTATTATTTTGTTATTATTATTATTATTATGTTTTGTTTTTGCACACAAAAAGTATTCTCGTTGCTTCATAAAATTATTGTAGAACCACTGTAGTCACGTCGACCGTTTTAACGACGTCTTTAGTACCTTTATGGATCTTGAAAGTTTGGGTGGTGTTGCTGTCAATGGAGGCCTCTCTGAGCCATCTGATTTGATCAAAAATATCTAAATTTGTGTTCTGAAGATGAACGAAGGTCTTAGGGGTGTGGAACGACATGAGGGTGAGTAATTAATGACAGAATTTTCATTTTTGGGTGAACTAACCCTTTAAGTTATTAATTGAGAGGAAGTGTATAAAATTGATCAAAAGTGACAGTAAATCCATTTTTAATGTTACAAAAGATTTCAAATAAATGCTGTTTTTGTTTACTTTCTATTCATCAAAGAATGGCCTGAAAAAAATAGTTTCACAAAAAAAATATAAAGCAACACAACTGTTTGATTATAATAAGAAATGCTTCTTGAGCAGCAAATCAGCATATTAGAATGATTTCTGAAGGATCATGTGACACTGAAGACTGGAGTAATGACTGCTGAAAATTCAGCTTTGCCATCACAGAAATAAATTACTTTTAAAAAATGTATTACAAGAGAAAAAATATTTTAAATTGTAATAACACATTCACAATATGACTATATAATATATTCACAATATGACTGTTTTTACTGTATTTTTAATCAAATAAATACAGCCATGGTGAGTATAAGAGACTTCTTTAGGGATATTGTCATGTCAACCACAATAAAAGCAAGCAAAACTTTCTTACCATCACTTCCTCCTTTCTTTTCCCTTTTGCTTTCGTGTGGGCTTAAATGTCGATTGTGTTTAGATTTGTGACTCGTCCCACCCTGTTGCTCTCTGTCGGCTCTATGCGACCTCTCCTCACTGCTGCCGACACCCGTGGGACGATTCTTCCGTCTCTCCTGTTCCCGAATGTCTTGGGAATTGTGCTCTCTGACTGGCTCTTTGTGTGGCTTGCTGTGCCTCATGTCATTGCGTGGGGGACTGGGCTCTGGCTCCTCTTCAGGAGGGCTTTCATATTCATCTGACTGATACTCCCTTGCGCTACTGTGCCTGTACTGAGAGCTGTAGTGCTGTGGAGGGGAGGGGGAGTAGCCATGTTGGTATCCCATCTCTTCATGTTGTTCCTCCTCCATAAGTGGAGGCTCATCTGGAGACCGCTCCCGGACTCGTTTGTGCCCTCCAGACTCATTAATGCGTGAGTGGGAACGCCCTTCCTTTACATTTGGTCTTTTGATAAACATGGAACATATAACATAACTTATTCATCTCTTATCTCAGAAGACAACACCACCCCAAACAGGGTTCCAAAATTATTACCCACCAAACATCATACCGGAGTAAAACTCATCAGCACTGGTAACTTCTGGTACTGGTAACCGTTCAAAGGTTTGGGGTGAGTAAGATTTTTTAAAATATACTGTATACATTTACTTTTATTTAGCAAGAATTCATTCAATCCATTTCAAATAAATGCAGTTCTTTTGAACTAGTGATCAAAGAATCCAGAAAAACAAAATGTATCATGGTTTCCACTAGGGGTAGCACAGACTAATCTACTAATCGACTTCAATGCTCTGCCATGACGCTTTAAGCTTGACGTCGACTAGTCTCTGGTCCTATAGAGGGCGCAACAGGATAAGAAATCTTTGAAGGGCTTCCACATTTACGCTCCGTTTCCAAATAGTTAAAATGACAAATAAATGCATACTCTGAAAGTGCTCCACAAGAAATGTGTGCTTATATTACTGGATGCTCGAAATTGAACGGGAGAATGCACATTTTAAACCACTTATTGTACAGGTAGGTAAGTTAATCGCCGTTCTAATCTAATGTGTTGCTGCACTGTAACGCACACACATTACAGACAGTAAGGTGCGTCCCAAATCGCATAATAATAAATGCTTCTTGAGCAACAAATCAGCATATTAGAATGATTTCTGAAGGGTCATGAGACACTGAAAACTGGAGTAATGACTACTGAAAATTCAGCTTTGCCATCACAGGAATAAATTACAAGAGAAAACAATTATTTTTAATTGTAATAACACAATATATATTCTCAATATGACTGTATAATATTTAAATAACTTTCACATAATATATTCACAATATGACTTTTTTTTACTGTATTTTTGATCAAATAAATGTGGCCATTGTGAATATAAGAGATTTCTTTAGGGATATTGCTTCTATATTAAAAAAATATATATTTTTGACTTAAAACAGAAATGTCAACTACAATTAAAAGCAGGCAAAACTTTCTTACCATCACTTCCTCCTTTCTTTTCCCTTTTGCTTTCGTGTGGGCTTAAATGTCGATTGTGTTTAGATTTGTGACTCGTCCCACCCTGTTGCTCTCTGTCGGCTCTATGCGACCTCTCCTCACTGCTGCCGACACCCGTGGGACGATTCTTCCGTCTCTCCTGTTCCCGAATGTCTTGGGAATTGTGCTCTCTGACTGGCTCTTTGTGTGGCTTGCTGTGCCTCATGTCATTGCGTGGGGGACTGGGCTCTGGCTCCTCTTCAGGAGGGCTTTCATATTCATCTGACTGATACTCCCTTGCGCTACTGTGCCTGTACTGAGAGCTGTAGTGCTGTGGAGGGGAGGGGGAGTAGCCATGTTGGTATCCCATCTCTTCATGTTGTTCCTCCTCCATAAGTGGAGGCTCATCTGGAGACCGCTCCCGGACTCGTTTGTGCCCTCCAGACTCATTAATGCGTGAGTGGGAACGCCCTTCCTTTACATTTGGTCTTTTGATAAACATGGAACATATAACATAACTTATTCATCTCTTATCTCAGAAGACAACACCACCCCAAACAGGGTTCCAAAATTATTACCCACCAAACATCATACCGGAGTAAAACTCATCAGCACTGGTAACTTCTGGTACTGGTAACCGTTCAAAGGTTTGGGGTGAGTAAGATTTTTTAAAATATACTGTATACATTTACTTTTATTTAGCAAGAATTCATTCAATCCATTTCAAATAAATGCAGTTCTTTTGAACTAGTGATCAAAGAATCCAGAAAAACAAAATGTATCATGGTTTCCACTAGGGGTAGCACAGACTAATCTACTAATCGACTTCAATGCTCTGCCATGACGCTTTAAGCTTGACGTCGACTAGTCTCTGGTCCTATAGAGGGCGCAACAGGATAAGAAATCTTTCCACATTTACGACATTTACGCTCCGTTTCCAAATAGTTAAAATGACAAATAAATGCATACTCTGAAAGTGCAATGTGTGCTATTGTTGATTACTTTTTAATTTTTGTTGTTGTTGAATAGCAAGATTAAGAAACAATATTTATTACATCATGTGTGTCGGAACGTCAGTGTCTAGCCTATAGTAAAAAAGGAAATTAAAGGTGCGTCCCAAATCACGTACTTATGCACTATTCTATGACGTTTTGTAGTATGAATAGTGCGAGTAGTGTGTTCACGCTGAAAATTCCAAAAAGAAAAATTGCACTTTAAATACCCGGATGATGCACTTAAATAACCGAAAAAACGAAGTGTGGAATGTTGAACACTTCATGCACTCAACTGTCGCAGCTTTAATTACGTAGTGAAGGGGGAGGGGCTTTTAGACTCCATTTATGAATGACCAAATAACCTTATATAATTCATACACTACATGGTTGAGTACATAGTGAATAAGTACATAGTGTATAAGTGCATAGTGTATAGTGCGTCATTTGGGACGCAGCTAGTAGCTCGTACATCATGCGCAGGTCACGCGCACACAGAATCATTCAGCACGGAAATGTATGGTCAACACTGTTCTGTGATTTCTCAATAAAATTGCTTTGAAACTGAAAAGTTAAAGCATATATTTCTTAACTAAATTCCACAGCTTCACTACTAGTAGAGAGACGCTGCCAGGTAGAATTAATTCACACACGCAATCGCTCTCACACGACTTCAGATTTTTTAAAGGTGATCTAATTTTTCACAGCTCCAGAATTTTTTGTTCATTAATGACGTCATCAGCGACTAGTCGACTTCGACTCGACTTTCATCACATAAAAGTCGACTTTAAAAAATCAGAAGTCATTCAACCCCTAGTTTCCACAAAAATATTAGGCAGCAAAACTTCTTCTTAAGAAGCAAATCCACATATAACAATGATTTCTGAAGGATCATGTGACACTGAAGACTTGAGTAATGGCTGCTGAAAATTTAGCTTTGCCATCACAGGAATAAACTGCATTTTAAAATATATTAAATTAAATAACATATTTTAAGGGGGTCATATGATGTTGCTAAAAAGAACATTATTTTGTGATGGCGGCAACAACAATACTACAGCGAGAATAAAAGTTACGCCTTCTTTCTTTGCGTGAACATTTGGGCGGCATTATGCAAATCTTCCCACATCATGACGTAGACATGTGAGGGTGTGTTAGAACGAGCCGTTTTAGGTAGGCGTGGCTGACTCTTAACTTTTATAAAGAATATCTCTTTGGATTTGAGACTTTAGTCTTTGCAACTTTACAGATCTTCTTTATGCACCAAAAGCTTGTATCACTTCAAAGAGAAAGGAAAAATTGAAATCGCATCATATGACCCCTTTAAATTGTGATAATATTTGACTGTTTTTACTGTATTTCTGGTCAAATAAATGCAGGCTTAGTGAACATAAAATATATTTTTTCAAGAACCCCCTTATCAAAACCCCAAACCTTTGAACAGTATTGTATATATAAAAATATGCAAAAGTGCAATATACAGTTTAATGACCAATAAGAAACATCGAAGGCACACAAATTTTCCTCAATACACCTGCTACTGGCAGTTGTGGCAAAAAGTAAATTTTTGACCATGACAACAAAAATATTCTGAAGAACAGTTGTTTCAGTTTCAGCTTCTTCACCAAGAAATTTAGCAGTAGATGCTTTGTCAAGAATCTTTATGATCAGATGTTAGGCTTTTAGCTATCCCCTTTGTTGAAAATTACACTATTCTTATTACTCTAAAAGGTTAATTGCAATTATATGAATACGTAATATATCACTTTAAAAAACTAACCTGTCTGCAGATCTCTCTGGCACAAGCTTTTTCCACTTGGCCACAAGGTTCTTTGCTGCCTCCCCAGCAAATTCATGTTTGCGCAGGGAATTCACTGTCTTTCCAATGCCTGTTTCCTGCAAGAATCGAAGAAAACAAACATATTAAAAGCTATAGAACCAACTGCATTAATAAAAACTGTTAGACCAACTCAAGAGTAATACTTTAGAACATAAGTAATATTTTAATCTTACCACCAGGATGTCTACTGTTATAGGAAGCTCCCCCAGCTTTTTGAGAGTTTTCAGCAGCTGGACAGAAGGTGAAAAGTGGAAAAAAGTATTTATAGCTGGTAAATTTTCCATTAACACTCACCACTGGCAGTTGTAGCAAAATGTTAATTTTGGACCATTACCACAATATTGGAAAGAACATATTGTAAAAATCTTTGTGATCAAATTAAGTGGAAAACTGCAAAATTTGTTGAAAACTACACTACTCTTATCACTTAAGATCATTTACAATGTATTTAACACACATTATCATAAAATGCCTATCACATCATTCTATAAAACTAACCACAAAAAAAGAAGTGAACAATGATACATAAATTATATCCAAATACATATTATACATATAATAGAAATAATAATAATAATAGTAGAACAAATAATAGAACAAATACATATAATAGAAAACTATATAGACGTAATACACTTAGGAAAAAACTGGCAGTAGTACATCATGCACCAGGATGTTTACATATTTAAAGGAGTAACTGGCATTGTATAGGTCCAAAAAAGAAAAAACATGGCATGACCGTGGTGCAGTGCCCAAATAACATGGTAGTACTTTAGTATTTTTTGTTTACACAAAGACAACATTGTAAGACTAATGCCAAGTAACACACTTATTAGTTGGCTAAGCAGTAGACTCACTTTAATGCCAGATTTGGCAAAACAAACATTTAATTGCCCTTTCAAAGTGTCATCGTGGCCTACACGGGAACATGGGGGGTTACATTGGCCAGAAAGTTGGGCAGTATCTCAAACCTCGTTGAGCTTCCTATCTAGACAACATTCTGAGGCATGGAATGAAGCATTCTGCCCACTAATGCCCTCTACATAGGCAGATCACTAGGTTTTGAGACACAACCTTAGTGTAATAACCATTCACTATTGAGAAGGAATCGTGTCTTACAGGGAGTAACAGAAATTCTGCTGCATTACTCAAGGCCTGTCTTCATCTGTCACCGCTATCGTATTAAATCGCTGTGGTTGACATTTCTGATAACTGAGCACAAGCTTCTGGGAAACTGCCTCGATGCTGTTTTTGCTGTCGTATCGAGGCATATTTGAGGAGAAAGCTCAATCCAGACTGATCTATGTAAACCGATCGTCCATTTCACGGTCTGCTGCTCTTGTAATTGTTAGACGTGGGATTTCTGGATAGCAATGTTGATCGAACCTCAGGCTAGACACTCGCCGAAGTGCGTATAACACAGTCATACATGGTGCGAAAAGGGACGACGTAGAGCATTCGCTTCGTCTCACCGAAAAGGTTTCTTACCTTGCGAGGCTCTTGATTCTCTGAGAGCCTTAACTGCAACTTCTCGACTGCTTCCAATATCTCCTCCGCCATGTTTACAGCTGGTACATGTTGCCCGGAAGCCACAACAGCAATGGTGGGGGCCTGCTGTTGTTTCAGACTGCTGCGAACTTCCGTCACTCCAAATGGAGATTGAGATTCCGGAAGAACGTCATTCTGCTGTTATAACGTCATCCTAGTGAGGTCATGATGTATTCATATATTTATTGTCCAGATTTGATCATTCAGCTTTGTGCTTATTTCAGATACATCCTGCCTAGGAAGGCCAACTTAAGTGGTGAGTTTTTTACTTGCAAACTTTAATTTGCCTATAGCATGTCTAAAAGTGATTTAGAATGATTAAATTATTTAATTAGTTACATTATTCAAATACAAGGACTCCACAACAACATGAGTGAAGTATCTTCTTGGCCAAAGATGTAATCAAATGTTAAAGCATCATCCCTGACGAGAGACTGAAGCTTGTTATATTAACCTCTGTGTGTCCTATCAGGTTGGTGTTAGGAGGACAAGCTGGATATGGACAGTGTTTTTTTGGGGAGGGGTGTATGGCTGTATATGGAGAAGGTTATGTAGGTGGGGTTGAGGACTGGTAGGATTGTGTTGCAGAGCTGTGGTTGGTTCATCTTTTCCACTAAATCCTGCTGCCAACAGAGCTCTGACTGACAGACAGACAGACAGTGAGAGAGACAAGATTACCAAGAAGAGAAAGAAAACAGTGTTGATCAAGAACTAAGAGAACAAATGAAAGAAGAACAAGGAAGGACAAATAAGAGTGGAAGAGAGCTATAAAGCAGAGGTAAAACTGACTGTGCTTCTCTTTCTTTTGATGAATGCATAAGGACATAATAATACATTTACATTAAATTAGACACTGACATGTGAATGTTTTAAAAAAAGCAACAGAACATTGACGTGAATGTTTTAAAAGCAACAGAACATTGCTTACACTTTTAATGCATGAATTCAATTCACCATCTCCATGTAATTTAGAACATGGATTTACAACAAGCCTGAATCACAAGACATGCTTACTTCATTTCGACATGCTTCAATTTATGTGAGTTTATTGAAAACTAAATATCACTTTGGATATGCATCCCTGACATCTCACAATCCAAACACAGACTCATAGAATTTCTTATCAAAGGCATCCCACTGTAGTGGGGTGGTCTAAATTTAAACAGACCCCTGTCAGAGTCAGAAACAGAGAATGACATGAGGGTTGTTTCTCAATGTCTATAAATAACAAGCAGAGCGAGGAGCTTGTTGGAGGTTGCCAAGCAAATACTCAGTCGGACTTTCCACGACACTACAGCATTTTAGACTGAAGACAGCCAGGCCTTCAGTTTTTAGGAATGACGTGTGTACCAGCTGCTTCTTTCCCATCTCCTCTTACCCTCTCATCCTTTCTTATTATCTTTCTCTTTTCAAAGTATAGAAATTTCCTTGTCTCCCTGCTTACCTGTCACCTTTTCATATTGAGTGTTGTGAAATCTTCTTTAGAGCATCAGATAAAAGAACATGAACCTATCACTTTTCAGTTAACCTGAAAGGATAACCAGATGACTTTCATTGAGCTATCTGGGTCAGATGGTTGTATGATCATCACTGAAACTTTCATCAAACTACTGCAAACCTGAAAATTACATCAGTCATTGATTCTTTCCCCTCAAGCATTTTCCTCTCTGTGCTGTAAATAGCTGTAAATATGCTGTGGTTTTGTGTGTGCATGTCATAGCCCATGCAGGGCCAGCAGCTGCCGTGGTGTAATATAAGAGGTGACAGTCGTGTTAGTGCTTTATGACTGGCATTATGTTGCAACACTCCTGAAATCATTTAAACATCTGCAGAAAACAACAGATCTGATCCAAATGATAGTAAACGTCACAAAAGCATGGCAGGCAACATATAACTTATGTATCTAATGTGTCATCAAGAAAGCAATATAGCTTATTAAGACTTAATGCATCAAAATGCTCTATTTTATCATTCTAATATATATATATATATGTTCCGTATTCATTTACGTATGGTAAATCTTGCCATATTAGGAACCAGCTAGGAATAAAAAAATATTCTGACTGGGGGAAAAAACACAACTGTGGAGATGGAAATAAGCACTGAAAAGTTTGCACAATATACTAAAATGGTATACTACAAAAAGGTCGATTTTTGAAACATTTTAGCCTTAGTAAAACAAAAAGTGGGCCATTCTATTAAAAAAAATGACACTGTTTATATAATCTAAAAACATTGTTGCCTTTTGCTGTCATATATTTGCTTTTCTAACATTTAGGATTTTAAGCATTGTATTGTCCAACATGTACATTTAAATCATATAATAATTGCTTTTTGATGCTGTTATTATTTTTCCTTTTTAAATGAGACCCTTCATATTTTGAACACCTGTTGATTACACTCAAGCAGCAGCCCTTTGAGTATCTATGTCCCTGGTGAAAAAGGTTGTCATGGTAAATGGGCGGATTCACTTTGCACGACTGAGTCATCCATGCATTTACGCTTGATTGAAAACAACTGCATCTGATTTTGAGAACAATGATAAACCTTTGTGTTGTGGCACAGATTTTAAGGTGAGATGGGGGTGAGAGAGGGGGCAGGAAGGGAATGATGACAGTGTGAGGGTAATTTAAGCAGCACAGCCCCTGCCATTCTTCCTATGTGGCTTTAGAATATTTTTAGAAGAGATGTAAGCACACCTGTCTATCACAGTCCAATCATGCTTGTTTGTTTGTCTATGAGGGGTCTGCTTTGTTCTGGTTTTGCAAGCATAACAGAACAATCTCCTCTCTGAAACAATACACATTTTCAATGAGCTGATTACAAACAACCTAGGCAAAAGTAATAATTCTGCTTATGTATTTGCTGTGATCTGTAATAAACTATGTGGCTAAATATTTGAGTCTGGTAGTGTGCATGTATATTTAACTATAATAACTGGCAAATGGGAGGGGATTGCTGATATAAGAATAAACACATTCTCTAAGACATGCTGAATCCTATAATAAGAGTCAGATGTCAATGCAAATGTACATTACATCCTTTATAAAATTTAGTCCAAAACTGCATATAGTGTCCTGCAATATGCCCTGCTTTATCGATCTATTAAATGTAAAATTAAAAAAAAATAAAAATAAACTTTTTAAAAAAATAATATAGATAAGGTTTTCATGCACTTACTGTATATCAACAGAGAGACTACATGGAATATACTTTACCATTTCAATTTGGAATACAAAAATCTGCATGTTACTTGTAAACTACTCAGCTTGCTTATAATAAATTATAACCATAGTCTGTGGCAATCCTTTTTGGAAACTCCCCTACGAGACCACATGCACCTGTCAATCAGCCTTATATCCTCCCACTGTAAAAGAGTAAGATGAGATCAAGTGCAAACCCATCCATGCTGACCATGATATTATAAAGCATATGATATTTATTGAACTCATACTTACTATATGTTAACTGTGTTTCTTTTCAGGTGGTGTGCACTGACACGGATCAATCGCTCTCCTCCACTGTTAGTTTGGAAGTGTAGTGCGTCTGTCTGTCCATATAGCTTCTTGGTTAATCAGTGCTCTTGTGATACAGTAAAAGTGTCACAGCTTCAAAATCATTCTGTCAGTATAAACCTTTAAAGAAACAAAAAATACACACAAAAAAAATAAAATAAAAAAAAAAAACAAGTGAATCTATTCAAGTGTTATTGGGTCATTGTGACTGTCGGCACATAATCTATCAGTTTGAAAATCTGTTGACCTGACTGATAAAAAGCTATCATCTAACCAGCCTACACATCTCAATGGCTCCCAAGAAGAAGTCACCATGCCCTAAGAAATCCATTCCTGAACCAACAACAGTTGAGAGTGGAGTGGTTGTCCCAGAGCCCGGTGTTAAGAAGCTGGAGCTTCCTCTTAATGTTGAGCAGCTGAACCGGCTCAATGGGGTGCCCCTGCCACCCCCTGTGATTCGACCTGGAGAGAGAGGTTTTGGCCTGGGCAGTGAGCTCACCCGCCCCCTGCATGGATCCACTCTGCTGGAGGAGCTGAGCCACATGAGACAAGAACGATTCCTCACTGATATGGAAATGGCCTGCAAAACCAAGGCATTTGATGTCCACAAGCTCGTAATTTCCTCAGTCAGCCAGTATCTTCGTGAAGTCCTGGCCAAGGACCCTGGACTCAAACGACTGGAACTCCCTACCCTCTCACCTCTTGGTAAGCCTTAAAAGATATAACCTAGCTCAGAGGTTTTCACTTGTGCGGCTGGAGACCCACTGTCCTGCAGAGGTTAGCTCCAACTCTCATCAAGCACACCTGAACCAACCATTCAGGACAATTCTGAATCTGATTCAGGATCAGAACCAACCAGGCAGGTGGGTTGGAGCAGGTTAGAACTAAAATTTGTAGGACAGTATGTCTCCTGGAGCAGGGTTGAAGACCTAGCTACATTTGTTAAAGTTCCCCAATATTTTGAGTGGCCCAAACAACTGGAATCATGTCTGACATTATGGCTAAGTCATACATATTAAAACACCATAACATATACTGTATGTATTATATTTATCCTCAGGACTTGCCAATGTGATTACGTTTGCTTACCTGGGCCGTGTGCACATGTCTCTGTACACCATTGGCTGCACTGTGTCTGCAGCCAGCACCCTGCAAATCCCTCATCTTCTCCAGATGTGCATGGACTTCCTGATGTCCGAACTGAATGTGCACACTTGTGTGTATGTGTGGAACATCGGCGCTGCATATAGCCTGATGCCTGTTCGAGAGGCCGCCCGGCGCTACATTCTGGAGAATTTGACCCAGTTTTCTGAGACAACCCAATTCAACCAACTCACCCTGGAGCAGATCACATCTTTCCTACAAGATGACAACCTATCTCTTCCTTCAGAGGTCATCACCTTTCAGGTCAGTGTAAGGAAAGATTGATGGAAGGGCAAGATGAATAGGGGTATAGCAAAAGCTAAGGAAGTTCTATTTATACAGTGACCCAAAAGCTAAACATGTCAGCAAACACAGCACATACTGTAAAAAGAGATATAGCTAGAGTCGTGAAAAGGATATAAATATGTACACTATTTATAAAGTAGACTGAATTAGATACTAAACTTG